CTGATCTCTTCCTATAGAGTCAGAATGAAATATGAGTTTGTTCTTTTTTCTCCCTGGTTTCAAAGCCCAGGACTACGACAACCTTCCTTTCCGATGCTTCCAGGCCAACTACATCTTAGTGCTTCTGGGATCCTCGGCCGAGATGAGGGTTTAGGGACAACTACATCTACTGGCACTGCTGGGATCCTCGGCCCCAAACACTAAAAACCCTGAGCCCCAAGCCCAAAAAACTTAGTGCTTCGCTGCTTTGGCCCATGAGGGTGACTAGGGATTGATACCATACACCTCAGTGTTTCTCGGATCTCGGGAGCAATATGGGTGAGTACGGATTGGGTTAGATGTTAGGATTTAGGGTTTCAGGCTTGGCTTCGGGTATTGGAGCGACCGTCCGCATTGCTGGGTTCATAGAGTTCTATCCAAGGCGGGACACAGGGGTACAGAGCCGTCATGTTATCGGTGACTTATGTGTCGGGGAATTGGGGACAAGGCAGCTTTGCTTGCCGGAGAAGGCTTTATACTGTTGTTGTAGCATGAGTCCAGGACCCTAGGCTACTCAAATCTGATCCTGCGCTTGCGTTGCTTTGTCTTGCTCCCTCCTTTCCTTAACCGATTCTTGAACCTCAATCCCAGACTGGTGCCTACATCTTCGAACCACCTGCCCAAGCACCGAACTCTGGCGTCTTGAGCTTGAACCCCCAGCGCGACTAGTAGAAGAATCGGAATGTCAAGCATAGTCTCGGTCGTGGTAGGGATGGCATCCGTGGTCAGGACTGGGAAACATTGAACCTTTAAGCCTCGCATTTCCAAGACCCTGCAAGATATCACCCTCAACACACCGCCAGACAGACGAACAGCATTGGTGTTCTGTCCTCCGAAACACCCAGGAGAAGTGTACGGCTTTGCGAAAGATTCGCGGAAGGTCACTTTTGCCCTCGAGGCCCCCTGCCAATATCTGATCCCTGAGACTTTTCTTGGCAAGCAAAGTTATAAACGCTCATAGTGGGGCTATAACAAGGTTCTTCAGTACTTGGTTTGTTGTTTCTGGGTTCCTGTTGTAAGATACCAAGACCCAAAAAATGATGTACCCAGTGGAATACTGAACAGCCTGGAGAAATCATGTTACCTGCAGTTACGTTGAGACACAGACCCTTTTCGAGAACCTGTCAAGCAATCCGCTAAGGAACCCTGAATTCTTTTTTGCGGGGTGTCAAGTTTTGCATGAAGGACTGTCAGGGTTTGATTCGTTGGAGTTTGTTTCGGGCCAGTTTCGGGCATATTGCGTTTATGGCCCTGGTTTCGAGTTTATGATCCCTTACGCGATAAGCCCTCAAGCCTCAACCCTATAAGCCCTAAACATCCAACCCCTCACTCCGAAGCTTCTCCTGCCCTTCGGGCTCTTATGGTGCTCGGTTTTTCGGAGTCGGACTGGAGGACTCATCAAACCCCCTTGAGCCTATCGAATTATTTGATTCCCCAAAACCCCGGGCTATGGGGTTCTTACTTATATCTTTGACTCGTAGGTCTGATTGTGGGTCCAAGGCAGCTGAGGGGCCTGATTATCAGTACGAATATCCTCTTCTAGTTCCCGGTCTAACCTTTCATGAGCCTATTGTGCCCTAACCCCATGAGGCCCCTCATCATCGAAGCCTTTTGGATCCCTTGACCCTTATAAACAATCAAACATAGAAAGGAGCCAAAGAATGTTTTTCAGGCCCCCATGATATGAACCCCTTGAGGCTTCCGGGCAAGCTCCTAAGCTGGGGTTTAGGGTTTAGGGCACGGTTTAGGGTTTAGGGTTTAGGGCAGGGTTTAGGGTTTATAAGGGTTTAAAGGTTTACGGTCTCAGGTGGACGGAGAAGACCTTGAGTGGCCTCTAGGCGCCTCCAACCTGAAGCGCGACGGGTTTCGGCTTGAGAGTTCAAGGTGTATGGTGGTGACATATTAATTTTGGGTCTTCACCATCACAAGAATGATGATGATGATGCTGCTGATGATGACGATGATGATGCTGTATTGGTAAATTAGTAGCTGTCAGAGTGGTAGAGGCAGCAGGAGCGACAGCAAAATGTCCCCAACGCGACTTCCTAAGCATGGCTGTAGCTGCTGTACAGTAAGTAGGGTGAGGGGGGGGGGCAGTTTTTTGCGGTTACCTAAATCATGGAGTTTCTCGGAGCCTGAGTTGCAAAGCCCAAACCCATACAACGCATGAGACATGCAGCTCGCCCAGCCTGACTTGATGCGGCAGAATTCACGACAGATACCTCCGACAGCAAACACCGAAAGGAACGTGGGACATAGCAACAGTTGTTCTTCATAAGTTCTAATGAAGGTACCTGTAAACTTACTTACCAAGTCCCCCCGATCCTCCAAAAGATGGTTTAGCAATTCGAGCTCAACATCGCTGCAGGGAGCCCCAAGGATTTATCATTGACGCCCCGAGCCAGAAGGAAATCTGAATTCTAGGTTCAAGCTTAAACTTTAAGCCCACAGCCCAAAAGTATGTATATTATATGTATGTACCGAGAAAATAGTATATACTTATGTATGTGTATATATATACACACATGCACACATATGTACACAAATGTATGAGGAGAGGGAGACAGCGAGCGATAGACAGCCATGTAGGCAGGAAGAGAGATGGGTAGGTAGGATGATAGGACCACGCCAAACCCGAAAATCACACAGGGGCCCTTCTTCACGGGCGGTCTCAACCCGGCCAAGCAGAGGCCACAGGTGAGCTGTGAGACTCTGCGTCCGACTCAAAGCTGTGAAGCTTCGGGTTTTTGGAGCGGTTTGATCGCATAGGTGACCGCTCGTTTGCACAGATCCCTATACAGATCCGTGATGCAGAAGAGACCCTCCCCGCTGTGATGAAGCGGAGTCGCTTGAATGGACTCTGGGGTCACGGCTGGTCGTGGGCCCAATTGCTTTCTTTGCTTCTCTTTTGCACATGTAGAAGATTTTGCCTCCTGCTCGCTGTAAAGCGGAGTGGCTTGGATGCACTGTGGGGATCCGCAACTGTCGGGTTCTCGCAACCGTTGCGAACTCGGATTCGCCACCGTATTCACCGTACAGCAGCGGTATTTCTGTCACAAGGGACCAGACGCAGCTCCAACGCGGAGTTGATTGCAGAAGCCGTCCCCGCGTGTTCCGTGAGCGCCGGTCGACAAAGCCCGTGCTCCATGGATGGGCAATCGGTTCAGTCTCTGGTAGTCGCACCATTCGCACAATGACCATTGTCGTCAAGTGTCGCTGTCATGCTCAACATTGTGGCCGTCCGCGTCATGACTAGCATCCTGTTGCCATCGTCATCACCACCAACTCCACGGTCATGATAACATCAATACCAACCCGAATCAAGCCCGGCGCAGCAGTCATCATCATCATCATCATCATGATCATCATCATCAGCAGCAGCAGCATCATCATCAACATCATCATCATCATCAACAACAACAACAACAAAAGCATCACCACCACCACCACCAGCACCACCACCACCACCACCATCATCATCATCATCATCCTCGCCGTCATCGTTACTGTAATTTCCATCGTCGTGTTCATCGTCGTCGATCATGGTCGTCACAGATCTGCTTTTATGAACCCTCGACAACCGCGACTGCATAAGACTGCGTGGCACATCCCGACTACTTACCGGAAGCCTTTCTTCTACACGCAAAGCTTGCAGAAAGTGCAAGCCCCTCTTGAATCCATGTTTGATTCCATGCCCGAAAAGCCCGACTTCTGTAAAATCTAAGCCTAAGGCTATCCTGCCGACCTCCTGTTTGTGAATGATTGCACAATGCTGCGGCAGTTTTTCAACTGCGGGCGCCGGGAGCCCTGTGGCAGTTCGTGCGGACCAAAGCATAGCTGATAAGGTTAGATGAAGCTTAGACGACAGCGAGCAGATGGGCAGCAAGCTTCATGTTCTTCATCAGTATCGTTGTCTACAATCCACATCCCAGCCTGCATCGGCATCACCACCTTCATTCTCATGTAAAAGCTGATGGTGAGCATCCGATCAGGAAGGTGATTCTTATGGTGATGCCGTGTGTGCTGGTGGTAGTTGGGGTGGTGATGGTGGAGGTAGAGGTGGAAGAGGTGGCGGTGGTGATGCTGGCGGTGGCGGTTGTGGCAGCATTGATGAAGATGTCGATGATGATGATGATGATGGTTACGACTACGATGATGATGATGATGATGATGATGACGAAAGGGGTGTTGATGCTGGTGCTGGCGGTGGCGGAGCTGGTGGAGGTGGATGTGGTCAGGATGGCGATTTGTTGGATAACTGTGAGATACAATAGACGGCTGGGTCGACAGACATGTCGGAATCACCTTAGGCCGTGCAAAACCCTGAACTTGCCCAAGACTCGGTCATACGAAACCCTCATCCGCAACCCCGAACCCACCCGAATCAAGAGTTTCGTCAGGTTGTGAGGCATCCTCCGGCACTGCTCTCCCCGCGCTTCGCGCACCTCGTGAACGTAAGGAGGCCCCTTCAGGGAAAGACTTCGGAGGGAAGATGTCCTTTGAGGGTGACTGTAGGGGTAGCTTTCAGGGTACTACCGAGGTTATCGCTATACGGTACAGCCTGTACAGGTTACTATGAAGGTACTATACGGTTACTTTAAGGGTACTATATGGGCATGATAAGCGGCTTTTGGAGTTGTCGGCTTGATGAGGTTGAATATAGAAGCCTGAATAATTTGCAATATCCGACATTACAGCAGTTGCTGTGGTCTCCGTGCACTTCGTGATCTCAGAGGAGTTGCCCTGATCCCCATGCACTCGTGATGTACTGCAGACAAGTCACGAACCTTCTTGTTTATCTTGATAGAACAGACCCTAAACCCTTGATCCCTTAAAGCCTATAAACCCTATAACCCTTAAGCCCTAAACCCTAAATTCGCGCCATCGCGAAGGGACTGTGGGACTGTCGACTTTAACTACCCCCCTTTGACCGACCCTACTGAGCCACTACTTTAGGGTTTAGGGTTTAGTATTTCGGGTTTAAGGTTTAGGGTTTAGTATTTAGGGTTTAGGGTTTAGAATTTAGGGTTTATAGGGCTTAGGGTTCAGACCTTTTTCAGGTTTCACCTCAAGCTTAAAGCTTCAATGT